AAAAGATTATAATAATCAGAATGATTATTTCGAGAGAAAAATATCTCCATATTTCATCCGTTATTCCTTATACATCTGCCTCACTTGGATCTAAAATTCTAGGAAAAAAATCTTTCCACGTTGATCGTCTAAAAAAACTACATCAAGTTTATTAGCTATTATCAGCCTAAGACTGTTAACTGAATAGTTTTAATGAAGCCGTCACTTCTCATTTTCTGCAAAGAATCCAATTTCCATCACCCGTGTTTCGACAATACCGCAGTGATGAAGTATTTGTAGAGCCGCATATCAATATAGTCTGAGACCGTTTATGGTAACCGTGTCGATAGCAAACGTATAAGAGCTCAAGAATCCTCGCCGAAGGTCTTGCACCTGGTGATAGGAACCTATATGAATCCGACTCCAGCTCGGTTTCCTTGCTTGAATGCTTCAATAGACAGAGCAAAACAAAGATCGAATACTTCAATGGACAAAGGTCTTCAATATTGTTGAAGAAGACCTCATTCGTTAGCTTATATCCTTTGTAGCTGCAAGAATGAAATGTACAGTTAGTCATCTATTTGGGCAATTACTTGCTTCAATGCTTCGATTTTTGCTCTACCATGGTCGCAGGCCATACAGAAAATTGTGTCTAAATTCCTAATGACTTCACATGCTCCAAACAGGACCATTCTAACCCTAAAAGTGATAATTGGGAATCTGAACTTCTATGGAGCCACATCTTTTTTCAGGTCTCCCCAGGCCTCCCGAGTTCACTTTACTACTCCACATTTGACTATTGTCACACTCATACTGATATGATCTGTGCACTTTTCCATCACCTCAGTAGTGAAGTATTTGAGTTTCCCTGAGTTTTCCTGAGCGCAATGAATAATAACAATAATGAATACTGCTGGAGTTTTAACACCAAACCGTTATTTTCAACACCTCGCCACGTGGTTCTATCACCAGGTGATAATTTTCAACAAGAAGAGTTTGCTGTTACTCTTGAAGATGATCACTTGGTGATCAAAATACGTGTCGAGTTGTTGGAAATAACGGTTTGGTGTTAGGATAAAACTACAGTAATATTCATTAGTACATCAAAAGTTCCAAACAGGGCATCACAAATAACAATAATGAAATGCAGAAAAAAAAGGCCAAGGAAAACTTCTAAAATATAACTCTTCAGGAATGGGTGAGTTCATTTCAGACTACAGCCTTGTCAGTTGCTCTACTGAAGTAGTATCAGGTGTCCAAAACATCAGTTTTTTGTTCGACACCAACTGACTATCACGATTGTAGCTTCTCATTTTTTTTAAGAGAAATGTCGCATTTCAATAAAGTAAGTTTAAAAAATCATTTCCTTTTAAAAATTAAAAAATCAACATCAATGCTAAAATCAAATCCAAAACATCAATACGTAGATTTTGTTTACAGCGAGAAAACAAATAGTATGTGGAACGTAAATGAAGAGGAATCAAAATCAAATAGGAGGATTCATTTCTTTTCCTTTTGTGAGGAGACTTGTTATTTATATTTTGAGCAAGTTCCCAGTAATATTTTTCATAACTACCATACATAAAAACATCAAAATATACAAGGCACATGAGCCTTATTTCATATCTATATTTGCATGGTTTGCATGGTTCAGACTGTGTGAAAAATTTGGCCAGATATTTCATTCATACAACGAAGCTGTAAATAGACGCTCCAAAATGCCAACAAACTTTCATTTGATTTCCTCTTTCACTTTTAGTCTGTCAAAAGTATTTTTTGAGAATGTTCGTATTGGGTGGGAAAATGAAACTGAAACTTAATTGGAGTGTACTCCCACCAAAATTGAAAAAAATCCAAAATTGAAGGGAACAAATCCCAGGTTCTTATAAAAAGGCAAAATTCAACGCCAAAGCTAATACCACAGACTTCCAAATATAGATGTATAAGACAGAATATTAGAAATTTCATCAGAGTTGAGATTCAAGTAGCATTAAATCATTATCTAAAAGTGATTCATTTTGGGAAATTACCTAGGAAATATAAGACATCCACATTATGATGATAATTTTCGATGCTTGATATACTCTAAATAATAAACACATTTAGTATTATTCGTGCCGACTATATGAAACTGCAATATTTCCTGAAGCGAACATCAAGAAATTATACGTCAAAGTAATGATAAGTTCTGACAGAGGAATAGTTTTCTCAGTTCCTGAATACAGCTCTGGAAAACAGATTTCGAAATATAAAAAGCAATTGAATTCAACTAAGTTTTGACAACTACATACATTTTTAAATTCATAAACTATCCCTTCAACAATTTATTCAAAAATTTCTAATTAGTTGATACTTCATCTTTATCTAAATGGAAATTGATTAGGGTTAGTAATGAAAAGTGAAAATAGATATTAAAATATATAATTTCATTCAACGTATAATGAATAATTATAATAAATAATAAATAATAATGAATAATTCACTTCAATAATATGTCAAAATAGTTAATTAGTGCAGACGTAGAAAAAGTTTAGTGTACAACTCTTTTGTGAATCATTTTTCACACTCATTTTTCGTGTCACAATCGTGTGAAAAATTCCGTTTTACAATATACAGTCCAAGAAATTACTTTTTGAACATCTTCACATGGATGAAAATTTTTCTGAACAACGCCTATTCCAGATTTTCAGAGCAATGATGTTTAGCAAATATTGAAATAATCACAGTTCATCATTTCAAAATCGAAATTATCCAAAAAAAAAAAATTACATATCTAGGTCTACTACGAGTTCACAGCCATCTTCATCATTTATTGAATAGATGATCATTCTAGAAATATTTATTCATTAATTTGTGCCACCCTAGTTGTTCTAGATCAGAAACAGGGTTCCGGCAATAATATATTTCTTATTCATAAACATTTCTAGTACGACATAATTTCATTAGGTACGTATTAATATATGCTGTGTGCATTAAAACTATCTGGGAAAATACTCGTAAACTGAATACAAATCTGCTTGTAAGTTTACACGTAACATATTTCAAAACATATTTCTACTAAAAAGTAGTGCAGAATACTGTTCAGCTCAGTGGGAGAAGATAGTTCAAATTTCTCAAATATTTCAGATATTACAATTCAGTACGTTTGAAATAGAGAAATCATCTCTATCAACTGACTAAAATGTACACTCACTTCTAATATTGAAGTACCTCAAATAGACCAACAGGTCTACCAACTAGAATAATGTCAAAATTGAATGTCTAAAAAAGCAATGATCAAAAGAAGTAAATATCAACCAATTCGTCAGCATCTCCATTTGCTTCAAGCTGGGTTGCTGAATCTGAACGTTTCCAAATCTGTTCAAAAATATGTTTAAAATCTGTTTTTCGCTAACCAGCTATCACACCCCTTACGAAGGAAAACCCTCAGAAGTCGAAACTTGTGCGAGCTAAAGATTAACGAGGTCCTACCTCAAGATAGAGAAAGCTATTACACCACAATAATTCACAAAGTGGAGTTTTTTATATATACTTTTGATCGAGGGTGACCTCAGAGTCAAATTTCAGCTTCTTATCTCCTTTGAGCAAAGAAAAAGTTATTGAATACCATTTGATACTTGTTAAGAATAGAACTCAGTAATCAATCCTCAATTCTAGGTAATATTAATGAAGAATGATGCATAAGATGTTTTTTTGAAATTGAATATAATAAACGCACTGTTACTGTTACATTATTGGTTTTCTTTGAGAACTGTGCAGAATGACCTCACAGAGTTTGTTGGAAACTTCGATTTATTATTCATCATTAGCAGCAACTAGATATGGAATTGGTTTATGGAAAATTTTACTGTGATAATCCCTCCGCAGTAGAGATGGGGCCAAAAATGACGAACAGAAGGAAAGTGCCGTACAGAAAATTTTATACTAAAAGTGAGCAAAGACCTCTGATAATTTGGGAAACATCTCCATCCATTATCCGTTTATAAACAGCCAGATGCGGAGAAATAAATACAGCAAGACAAGTCCATTTTGCCGCTCTTCTGAGACGTCTAATAATAACTCAGCTGAAACTATTCCCGTCGCGACCGACCCGCCACTCGCCATAGGTCAAGACTAGGAAAATCGTTAAATATATGTACAAGGTGCCCTAGAATTATGAGAGATTCGTCTAGAGATTATACTTTCAACGGCCTTTCATAGTAATATTCTCTCGTGTACCTATTTGAAAAAATTTGAAGATGATATTCTGAGATGATAAAGCGAAGGTTGCTGTAAATCAGTTGTCGTCGAAGCTTGCATGCATGCTAAGAATTAACAAGGTCTCACCCTTTAACGTACGATTTCTAGGAAGGAGATTATTACTAATTTTGAGAATCACCATCAATATAATCTAGTTGAACAATCATTGCAATGAAAACTAGTAGGTATCTCTGGTGTAGAAATGATCCTATACAAACACTGTTTTTACATTCCAGAACATTCTTCTTTTTTTGTCTCACACTTTCATTCTCAGTTTTGAACTACAACAGGGATGTTGAAAGATATTCCCATATTGAAAATGGAGTGAAAAACTCAAACAATCAATTCTTCAACAGAACAATACTGCACACTGTATTTGTGGGGCTGAAGATCAAAGAAAACATGCGTCTGAAAAACTTTTGAAAGTTTAAAAATCGAAAGTTTTCTCGTTGACCATTTTAGGCCACATTTCAAAATTTTCACCCAGGACATTATACCTTGAAAATATGTTGATCATACTTCTTCAAACAGAAACAGGTCAGTTTGACTTTACGGAATTTGAGTAAACCTAGTATACAAAAAATAGATTTAAATCTATTTGATTTGAAAAGAATCATTTCCTTCGGAATAAGTACATCTCATTATGTCTGAAACTCAAGTCATGTAATATACTATTCTTTTTAAATTTTTTTATATTCCAGTACCAGATTTGAAACTGTTAATTTTAGTTATGATTGTTTGGCTCTTCACTTGATATTCTTTTAATCTCGTTTTTTTTTCAGTTCACATGTTATATCATCAAACTGATACAGACACCGCCGGGACATCTGCATCTTAGACCTGGAGAAACACTTGTCCCCTGCAATGCACGCCCCTGATCAAGGCTGCCTCTGAATCAGCCTGACGTCTTCATGAAGAACTTTTCCTAGTTTACTGATGTGTCCAGATGAACAAAGGAAGTACAGGATACTTCTCCATAATATGATGAAACTATCACCCTAGAATCCAGTGGCGTACCATACTGAATATATTGAATTTGTATATATGGAAAGTTTATTGTAGTTACAACTATAGGGATGATACGCCACTGACGCGGTTGCTATTCGAAGCTTCGTTTTGCTTGACTAACAATTAAAAAGCACAACAATTTTTTTGAGCCCTCTGATAGTAGTTCGTAAGGAATATTTATTGAGTATAGGAAAGTTAGCTATTAATATTTAGTAGAAAAATTATTTTCAATACAAATTATACATTTTTGCGTACCTTGTCCTAACTTTACGCTAAGATTATGTCCAGGGCCACTTCGAAAATATCAATAATCCGTCACACACGCTCAAACTCCAGTGGCTAGAATTAAAGTTGAGATTGTTTTTGTTTTTGAGGTTGCTCTGTATAAAGCCATGGAACAAATATACGTAACAAAGGGGTTAGTCCGTCTTTTATGCCCAGGGAACAGTAAGGTACTGCTTGTACTGGCTTAGTCCATACAATTGTAAACAATTCAGAAAAATATTTTAGGTATAGCTGTTTATATAGAAGTTACTAACTAGGCCTACTTATTTTGAAGAAAATTAAAGAAATTGTTGGGTTTTGGTGTTTTGTTCACAGAAAGCAAATCATCCGCCTATTTTTCTGAATAAGCGAAATGATTTAGTTGAAGAAATTGTTCGCGTATCTTATAGAGTATCAGAAAAAATGAAACTCCGGAAAATTGAATATTCACAATTGTTGGGTCAAAATAATATGTGATCAGTTGACATAGCTCGAACTTCAAATCAGTTTCAGTTTCAACAGTTCATCAGTCTATGAAATCAAGATTTGGAATCAAAAATTGAAAATCAAGTCGATACAGAGTCAGATATTCTCCAAAAAACTTTTTTTCATCGTTCTGTCAGACTTGACAATGAATTATCTGTATCATAAGAGAAGCAGAACATGCATTGATGAATATGAGAATCCCATAAGTAATGAATGTACTATATCTCTTTTTTGTGAAGATACCACCAATCACCAACAAAAGTATTTTGGCTAGTGAACTTAAGAGTAGCTACTTAGCTAGACATTACTCCCTCTATACAAGGGATGACCGATATATTGTATTCACTAGATTTATAGTGGCCTTTATCGAAAAATGCCCATGCCTACTATATACATCATTTACATAATATCAAGTATTACAGTTTATAATTGGATCTGAAATTTGTTGAGGTTTGAAGCGAAACCCTTTGTACAATGTATTTACTCAATGATATTGGGAATAAAATGGTTTGAGATTCATGTTGTTTCCATTCATATACCCATTCATAGAGTGTTTTTCAGAAAGCCATTAGTAGAAATGTGAGACGGAGGTGTGGAGTTATCAAAAAACTGGAAAACAATTTTTTCTTCGTTTTTTTTTTTAATGAAGCACGCCTGAGAAAGCTATTATATAGTAAAACACGTGTTGGGGGTTTGAAAAATGTTTACTGAAAATCTCAAAATGTAGTATTATTTTAATACATTGATCATTTTTATCAAGTATCTGCCAACACATATCTAACGAACAGTTTCTCATCTCAAACTCCTAATAAAAAGTCGGTGTGGCACTCTGGAAATTGGAATTATCACCTAATGCTACTAATATGAATCCACAACCCCACCACTAACTCAAGCGGATGGTTCAATTACAACAATAGCCACAGAAAAAGCAAATCTACTTGCTGAACAATGTGAGTCCCACTCAACAGTCGATTTTCGGGGAAAAACACCACCCACTATTCCCACAGTGGAATTCCCAATGCCAGAAATTACTTTTCGACAGCGTCTACTCAGGCGAATTTTGAAACAGCTCAACATCAACAAAGCGTCTGGTCCTGATGAAGTACCCGTCATCGTACTTGAAAAGTATGCAGATGAACTCGCATCAGTATTTTGCAGACTTTTCAATCTGTCTTACAAGAAAGGCGTTTTTCCTGCTTGTTGAAAAATGTCTCGTGTTCAGCCTTATTCCAAAAAGGGCAAGAAAACTCTTTCAAATAACTATAGACCAATCTTGAACCACCATATCCTCAAATATTTGAAAGACTTCTTGAGCGATCATCAATATGGCTTTCGGAAACAAAGATTAACAGACGACCTTCTATCGTATGTCATCCATATTTAGAAGAACGCAATCGTGAAACATGGGGAGTTAAGAGCTGTTGCGCTCGATTTTTCCAAGGCCTTTGACCGTGTTACATGAGGGTTTGCTGGCCAAACTTCTATGCTATGACTTGTCGGATCATTTTTGTGTATGTCTCTCCAGCTCCACGAAAGAACGTTCCCTATAAGTGGCCGTCGATGGATATCTCCAGAATACATTTGTCAGCAACGCTGGTGTTCCCAAGGGATCTATATTATCTCCAACAATTTTTTTATTTTATATCAACGACTTATTTGAAGAAAACAAGAATCCAATGTATAACTTTGCTGACGACAGCACACTTGTCTCGTCATTCCATTTAGGTTCCAGGATATCGGCTATAGAGGCACATCTTCACCGGCAGCAGGAGATTGCATATCTTGCTGAGGATCTAGAAATGATTTCAAATTAGGGCGAAACTAACCAGGTTCAATTCGATGCCACAATGCGGTTTTTTTGTACTTCCATTTCCACTTCTCCTCTTTGCAAGTTTTGATGATTACATTTTCATGTTCATGACCTCGATATATGTCTTTCGAGAATGTACAAGTCTCTTCCTACAAATCAAAATATTAAGCCTGTACCATTCGTTAAACTTCAGATACATATACCTCCTACATTGAAAGCTTCATGTTTTTTATTTTCCAACCTCTGTTTATTCTGTTTCATCTGAGCACACTGATATACTGAATTATCTAACAGTTTTGCCAGATCAGAGAGATACAAAGGCGCAGAAAGGCGAAAAATCTTCTTGAAAAAATTCACCTAAGTTCGAGAGGAAAGTAGATTTTTTTTAATTCCGAGAAATGAGAATTTTCCGAGTTTGAATTTTGGTAGCAATTTTATAACATTTTGTTGAATAAATACTTCAATCTAGGAGTTTCTGTTGAATTCAGACTTTAGACTAGAAGTTTTGTTGAGTTTGAACTAATGATTCAGTGTTATTTCCTTCAAAATATTTTATGGCCCTTTTATCTCCGAAAATATGGAGGTACGGAGAAACAGTGATGAAAATGTAATTTTCATATGTAAACGCGCCCTTTTTTCCCTGGAGGGTGAGCCCCAGTTAGAATATTGTAAAATCCTTTATTAGTGCGCATCTAAGACCTAAGAAGCACCTATATACCAATTTTAGCTTCCTAGGACTTACCGGTATGGATAAACAGAGATTAATAGATGAATGATTATCAAACTATCACTTTTGTTTGAATGCCCCATAATTTCTGCCATCAGATTGAATGATCTACCTTTTTTAGAAAGCTACGAAACATTTATGAGTTTGCTACACTCTATAAACTATTGCGTAAGGATGCAAACATGCTTGCCGTTTTTATTATCCATGTTTTCAAGTTACGGGCCATCATTGTCAACAAATAGGTTTATCAATATTTTTTTATCTTTTCAGAATTCTGGTGTATGGTTTTTGTCAATGTTTGCACTAATACATAGAAGAGTGTCAATCGTGGCAATTTCTTTAATTAACATATTGTACATATTGAAAAGTTTCTATGGTTTCAATTCTCTTACAACAAATTGAATGATATAGCCTACTACACTTTCCATGTTTTTTACCACTTTTATTTGTAACTAACGTTACTGCAGTTTGCCCTATAAAGACATTTCCAAACTTATACATTAAACTAACAATGCTTTGTATGATTACGTTTATTCATTATTAAGGGGTTAGTAGTTTATGAAGTATTTGGATGTTTGTTGGAAACCTACTATAGGTTTAAACCTCTTCAGGGTTTACAATTTTTCATATTAGTGTTAGTATATGGTTGAAATATGAATTATAAATTATAAGTTAAGGTTTATGAATGATAAGTATAGGTAGTGAATTCAGTTGTCCTGGTTCTTGGCTGTTATTCATGGGAGTGCGGATTATGTTGAGTCTGGAGTGTTGATGATTTCATTTGAGCTCTCAGGGTGTTCCAGGCTGTGATTTTACGCTATCTGATGGCTAATGGATATTCCTCAAAGGTATTCTGGATCTGCTCCGTAGGATCTTCCATCAATTCCAGGAGTCTGGCTGGGGGGAACGGTAGCTTTCTCCGTGGTATCCTAACAATGATTTATTACATGAGCCTTTATATAGCACCCCTGTAGGTAATAATTCAGGTACTTGGCTTGATTGAGTACCTGCATTTACAATGCGGATGTGCTAATTTGAAAACCGATGGGTAAACTAACTCGATTTGATCATTTAACAGGTTACACCCGCAATATTTATGCTTGTGAATTTCCAAGGATTCTGAATAATTGAGTTTGTAACCCTTCCTTACAGAGTGCAAAATTTTCGTATCGTTTAGATTCGGAAACTTGTGGTTGCATGCCAAGGATTGGTTTGAATTATTTTTTCCTAGTCTGAAGGACCTTTCATGTTCAGCATACCGTTTTTGTAAATTTCGACCACATTGTCCCATATAAACACTATTACACTCCAGACACTTAAGCTTATGAACTCCAGATTTCTCTACCTTATCTTTGGCATTGAAAAGGAAATCAGATAACCTGGCATGTGGTCTGAATGCCACTTTCACATTGTTTTTTCTGAAGGAACCCACAATTATCTCTGTTCGTTTTCCAAAATATGTTAGAGGTACCCATTTCTTGATTTCTGGTTGTGTGACCTGAGGCTATAATAATATGTAAGTGAATTTACGGCTTTGTTTTCTGACAAACTTCTGGATAGTATCCACGTTGAAACCTTTATTATGACCTATCAATTTCCCTAGCTACATTGTTAGCAGACAAAGGCAGTGAGAATGCTCTGTGCAACATATGATTGCAGGCTGCTAATTTATGACTGTCAGGATGGAAAGAATCGCTTGGGATGGTGATGTCTGTATAGCTAGGTTTTCTGAAAACATTGAACTCAAATTTATTCTGATTGTGTGTAATGGTCAGGTCTAACAAATTTATCTGTTTCTCTATCTCTGTTTCAAGTGTGAACTGAATGTTGCTATTGAGATTATTCATGAATATCATAAATTGGTTCAGCTGTCTGAAAATGAATATGTTTTTTACCCAGGTCAGAATTTACTATAGTGGTCTCCAAGTTGTTCATAAATGTGTCTGCTGAAAGTGGACTAAGGGATGAGCCCATTGGTTAACCTAAATCCTGTTTATAAAATTTGTTGTTGAACTGTAGGTAGCTCTGATTCAGGCACACATCGAAAGCTGTTAAAACTTCAAAGGAAGTGATATGGTCTACTTGCCTTTACTAGTAAGGAGAAATGCTTCAAAACCGGTCTGAAAGCGATCATGGCTTGATTTCACAGTTGTTGCTGGACACTGGACAGCATGTGTTAAAATTGTCTCTATTTCGAAACTTGCACAATTGTATGGCAAATTCAATCCAATGCCGATGATCGTGCTATCAGCCAGGTTGAATTTGTCCAAATAAGCATTTTCATGAAAAATGTTTAATTCTTTTTACACTCTTTATATTAACTTCACCCGTATGTATATACGTTTGTTCCTTTCCATTTCATATCCGAATCTGTATTTGTCAGAATTATCGACATTATTACTTGATCTATTCGCGGGCAAATGGCGCTGTACGTGACCTCCTTGATATAATTCGAACTCACTTTACATGTATTTCTTCACTTGAAAAAAGTATTTTTTTTATTAACACGCGCGCCTGCTGCCTTAGAAAATATCAATGGTCCCAAAGTTTAGATAAAATGAATATAGTTTGAAAAGACTAAAAGTCATGATTTTATAGCATACGAAACTAAAAAATGAAAAATAAGTATTGTTTAAAAACTAAAAAACACGCTTTCAAAGAACATCGAACTAAAAAGTTAAAAATTTTTTTTTTAAATAAGTTTAAAACAATATCGAAGGAAAAATACTAGTATTATTGTGAAAAAAGCGTGGGCGCTTTGTGCCATATTTTTTGTATATCAAGCGCCCATCGCTTTTTTCACAATGATACTAGTATTTTTCGTTCGTTATTGTTTTGAGCGTATTTAAAAAAAAAATATTTTCAACTTTGATGTTCTTCAAAAGCGTGTTTTTTAGTTTTTTAAACAATTTTTATTTAGGTTATCGTTGTCAACAGTCATCATAATATGAAAAATGACTCTTTCTGAAATTCTGCAGAA